CCAACCCGGTGCAAGGGATCGGACTAAGGCCTTCGGGTTCTTGTGTTGACCCCAAATAAGCCTACTAAGTCTTCGTGACGAAGTGGATGTTGTTGGAGGGAGGTGTACCTATATTTTGGACGTATTCCGATACGACAGGGACTACCAGTCTCAGCAATCGATCACGATCATCCCCCGATCTCGGAGTGGGAGGGCAGTAAAAGAGTAGATCCTGCTCGTCCACCTCATAATCGGCTGCGATCTTACCGTACGATCTCGCTTCCAATTGTGTGAGATCTGCGATCAAGCTATTCAGATATTTCTTCAGGCCTGCGATCCAGACTTCCTCCTCCTGGGCCTGCTTGATCCGATCGACCCGCATCTCCCGGATCGGATCCTCTTGCATGACACCCGCAGGTGATCTTACTCGAGCAGCTCGAGTGGTAACCGCTTCAACTTCCACCACTGGGTTCTCGGTCCTGGGAATCAAGATTTCGTCTAACCGGTTCAGTGTGACCTGATCCTGGTACCCGGTCCCTCCCTGGACCTCGACCCCGCCTTGTCGTTGCAAAGCGGCACTCGCCAGACTGTCGGAACTCCCATTCCAGTCTCTCTTCACATGCACTAGCTCATGATCACTCCATTTCCTTCGGCGATCGAGGACTTACCGCTTCAATAGCGTCGGCCCGGGTGCTTTGCAGTCGATCTCGACCCGTACTTGTCGGATCACTAAGTTGGAATCACCGCAGATCACTAGGCGTTTGTGATCTAGTTCCTCTAGCATGTCGAGTCCCAGGATCAGGCCGTTATATTCTGCTTCGTTCACGGTGAGGCTCTCGAGATAGCCCGATCTAGCTTTGACCACCTCCCATCCGGGCAGACTCCACACGATCGCGCTGAACGCGCCTCCGCCACGCTTAACTCGAGCGGATCCGTCAAAACTGACCACCCATAATTCCTCTTCTCGATCTACAGTGGGTATCGGCGCTTGGATCCGGCGTTTAGGTTCCTTCCGGGGAGCGATTTCGGTCAGAGCGTCGTCCATCTTCGCCCTCAGCGTGATGCTGGCAGCGATCGCCCCCAGTATCTCGTACTCGCCCTTCGTGCACTTCGCGATCTCGAACGTCCATGGGGCCAGGAGGGCAGACCATTGTCCCAGGCGACCCTGTAATCCCGTCGACTTGAACAGCCAGGCTAACGTAGAATGCCTCGTCAGGACCCGGATCTCGCGTCCTACTAGCAAGTTGTAGTAGAGATCTAAGATCCTCAACAATGCCAACACCTCTTTCTCCGTCACGTTGTAGTTCAACTCGTTCGCCTTCAACGTGCGACTGGCGAACGCGACCGGGTGGTAGATCCCGTCGTGTTCTTGCGTCAGCGATGCAGATATCGCCCATTCGCTGACATATACGATGACCACCGGCGTTCTCGTCTCGTCGAAATGGCGGAGAATTGGGGTAGTCGCGATCTTGGTTTTCAGGGTAGTAAAGGCCCTATGCGCCCGGATCCACCTCTCATCCAATGGTTCCGCCAAATGCAGTTCCGGTAGGCCGTGATCTCGAGCAATCGGGTCGTTCTGGTCCATGATCTTCCTCAGATCCGATCGTTTCTCCAGTTCTGCAAACTCCACCTCCACGTTGTGTAATTCATAGAGCACCGAAGTGTAGATCGCGTAGTCTTCAATGAATCGGCTGTAGTAATTCAAACTACCCAGAAATGACTGCATAGATCGAAGTGATCAGGGGAATGGCAGATCGGTCAGGGATTTCAGATCTTTCGGGCTCGCCTCCGAACGTCCGATTGACACCCGGTGTGCCAGATATCCTACCTTATCCATGCCCCAAAAGCTCTTGGTTACACTGATCGATAAATTCCACTTATCGCAGGCCTCCAACAGATCTTCCACCCTTTGGCGCATTTGATCCCACGATTCTGCTGCGATCATGATGCCGTCAATGTATGATCTCCGTCCCAACACTGAGTCCCGATCAGGATCGTCCGCGATCCCAGTCTGGAACACGCCCGTTGTAGTTCCAACATCGCCTGATCGCGAGATCTTCAGGAATCCATACAACGTGTTGTCTACGAGACGTTGAAAAATCTGCGAGGCATTTTTCGGACCAAAAGGCATGCGACTCCATTCGAACAATCCAAACGGAGTGATAAATGCTGAGATCTCGCGAGCCCGATCCGTCATGGGCACGACCCAGAAGCCACTGGCCATATCCAGCGATCAATACCATAATGCCTTATCCCCTACTTAGCTGTCGGTGTCAGTTCTTGGCTGGTCCCACCATCAGATCCCCGAACGTGAGGCATTTCTCCTCTTCGGTTGCTTGATCTCGCTGGAACGCCGATTTTACTTTGCCGATCCATGCCCTAGCGCGATCTTCGTCCATATCCTTCCCGGTAAATTCCTTCAGATCTGAGATGGCTGAAATTCAGACTCTTTGGATCAGCGACGAACCCCAGAGCCGATCGCAGCCGTGGCGACCGCGACTCGGCCGGAAGTATGACCGGAGGAGCTTGGAATCCCGAGATCGTCGGGATCGTATTCCCAGGAGTCTGGATCCGGGGTGCCGACTGACTCCATGTCGATATCTTGCGTTCCGAGGGGTGGCGGTTGCACCGTCGCCAAGCTTTGTTCCTTCAGGAATCGATCCATCGCCATCTGGAAGTATTCGTCCAGTTTGTTGCTCGATCCGGTCGAATTGGTCGTCGGGGTGGTTCGTCCTGCTGGGATCTGGCGCTTTTCCTGCCGATCGGGTTTCTCCGGAGTCTGACTCGGTTCTGCCAGCCGTTGATCCGGCCTGCTCACGTGTGATCTTAGATATTTCGCGCCCGAAGGACCTAGAGACATGCATTGTGGAGCTCGCGGAGAATCTGAATCCGGTTCCGAGGTTGCCGACCCGTAATGTGACGACCCGGTCAGGTAATTCAGATCAGGTGTTTGTAGATCTTGAGCGATTCGTAGAGATCCTGAGTCGCCGCCTGGATCGCCCCCAGTTCCATCTCAAACAGGGAATCCGGATCGAATTCTCCCACTACTAGACCGGCCTCCTGAAGGAGATCCAGCAGGATCTTCACCGCATTCAGCCTATCTGTGCTGGTGTTGGGCTTGGATATCGGGCCTGTCAGATCGCCGATCTGGCGTACTTGTATAATCGCGAGGACAGGATCCTGCAGCAGTGTTTCGCTCAGAATCTTCCGATTGTAAGCTTGCTCGATCATGTCTTTGGCGATTGTCGAACTTGGTCTATTCACGTCTTCCGATTTGGTGCCTTCAACGTTGTCCGAGCGGCCTTGATCTTCTTTTTCTTGTACGATCTTGTCGAGGCCGCCGGCTTGGTGGACAGATTGGACTTCGACTTAGTCGTGTCCTTGTCCGTTGTGTACGGATCTAGGTTCTCATCGACATCCACGGTGACGGCCGAGACGGCCTTGAGAGGAATTCGAGGCTTTTCTTCAAGATCTGGGTCTTGATCCAGGTCCGCCTCGTGTCTGTCAGCAGAGATCCTCTGCACACTCCGCTGATCTATGGATCTTGCTGTATTATGCGATGCCTCCGTCGATCCAGCATTCGTACGCATTTCTTCCCTGTGTTCTGCTATGACCTTGACATCTTCTTGGGACTCACGGTGAAATCCCGAGTCACCAGAAGATCCGGGCACGCGCACCATTGTGGCAAAGCGGAATCCGTGAAAATCTTGTGATCGCGGTTCCCGATACCACTTGTGCCCGGACACCGACTAACGAAGGGGGTCCTCCGATGATCCGTGATCTGGCTTGTGTCTTGCTCTGTACCCGACGGCGGGCGGGTTACGCTCTCCTGGCTGACTCGTAAGACGTCGATCGGCAAAGATCTAGACGCAGGGGCCTGAGGTAGCGTGGGACTTCTTCACTCTACCTCGTTCTAGGCCGGTCTCGGTCGCTGACGAGTCCTTGAGTCGCGATCGAGCTGCCTGGTTGTCGATCCAGGTCTTTAGGTTGTCCAAATACGGAGATCTTGCTCCTTCCTTGTAGATGCTTACCTCTTCCAATAGCGGGGAACTTGTTGGGTTGAGATCCGATGTAATCTTCAGGCCAAGCAATCAATGCCTTCCGATCAGTCGTTAACACATGAGGACAAGTCACTAGGTAGGACAAATTATCCAGTCTTAACCGCTACGCTAGATCCTATGTCCGTACCGTCTATGCGCTTGAGGAGCCAAACTAATCCCCGATTCCAGGCGAAGGCGGAAACTTGTGTGGCTTAGAGCAAATTCGAGTCTGTTTACTTTTATCCCTATATCCTCTAACCCATCCTTAGCTGCTTTCCTACGATCACCTGACATCTGGATACATACCTTATCTTGAGATCGGCGGTCGCGATCGGACCTCGATCGGGGATGCCGCCCTGGGATCCTGGGTCATCTCTTGCCGCCGTCGTGCGGTGATCTCCTTCACTGCTGCTCCTCCTGGGGCGCATGCCGGCTGTCTTCCGATGATCTCGTCCCGCCTCCTTCTCAGGGCCCCGGATCGCCATCTTGCCTTGATCAGGGATCGCCTGCACCTCGCATATCTTGATCGGTGATTGACGTGGTTCCCAACGTAGCCGTTCCCCCTCGATCTCTGTCCGCTGGTCCGCTATAATTCGGGATCGCTGGTCGATATCGACTCCTGTCCACAGATTTCCCTTGATCCGGCATTCTCACGTTATGGATATGTCGCCATCCATCATTCCGTCGGGTTGATCTTGGGTCATCTGCAGTCGATCTTGGGTCATCCGTAGTCACCATCACTCACCGGTGTTTTCGCACGTTAGATTTTGGGGAGGCGACTTGATGTCTGGGTCTGGAGTGGGATTTCTGTCGCCTGGCCCGTCGCTATCTCGCGATCGGGTAGGTGAGGTTGCTTTTCTCGCGAGATTTCGATCGCACTTTACCACACCGTCGAGATCGAGACAGAGCCACCCATTCCGTTGAAAAACATAATAGACGGACAAACGCTGAGCGTGGAGGAGTAGAAAAGGGTTCTTGATCTCTTGGGAGAGTTCTCGTCCCTCTTTTCGGGAAAGCTCGCCACGCTTCACAAGAAAGAGCCATACGTGCTGCCTTTGTTTCCTGATCTCACACCAGTGACGAGTCGGTCGTACCCGATTCCTCCGGCGTACTACAAGACCACTCGAAAGGAAGTCGATCGACTGATCAAGCTGGATGTCTTGACCCCCGACTCGTCGTCGCCATGGGGCTCACCAGCATTCATCATACCAAAGAAGGACGGATCGGTACGCCTTGTGTGCGACTTCCGTCGGCCGAACAAGCTGCTACGCAGACACTTCTACCCCACGAGATACGTGAAGGAAATGCTGAGTTCAGTCGACGAACCAAAGTATATCTCGTTGTTCGACATACCAATGAGCTACTACATGCGAGTGATCGCTGTGAGTAGCCGTGGACCGACAGCGATCGTACTCCCATGGGGAAAACTCGTATTCAACCGCCTGCCGACGGGCGTCTCGACGGCTCCAGACAAGTTTCAGGCCTGTATGAATGAGACCGTCGGAGACATGGAAACTGTCCGCACGTCCTTGGACGACATTATGGTGACGTCGCAAAGCTTCGACGAATACCTCCAACACTTACGTGAACTCTTCGAAAGACTGGTGGACAATGGCATTACACTGCACCCAGCGATGAGCAAGGTCTGCGCGAAGTCGGCGGAGTACCTCGGTTACCAGATTAGCAAAATGGATATGTGGTAAAGTGCGATCGAAATCTCGCGAGAGGGGCAACCTCGG